CCCCAAAACCCCCAAAACCCCAAAACCCCAAAACCCCAAAACCCCAGGGGGATTCAAAATGGTTGAAACATTAAAAAATAATTTTAATTTTGATTTATCTCTTTTTGAACTTCTTTTTAGATTTAGCCCTCTTATCTCCAGTAAGGTCATGAGCTCTAATAAGCACTTGATTTATATTGGTTGGCTTGGTTTTGAAAGTTTTGTAGGGCTTACCATTCTTGGCTTTAGAGGGTCTACTACCTGTGAGGCTCCTACTAAATGATCTATATTTCTTGGGAACACCTCTCCTCCCTCTTCTAGGGTGAGTGTCAGCATTCGTGGACATATCTCTGTACTTCCTAGGATCTTCTATGGCATAATCAATGCCAACCTTGTCTTTGGCCTTGATGAGAGACTTAGATCTCTTCTTGCCTTTCTTTGTAGTAACTTGTCTTTTTAAATTTCCAGTGGTCTTGCTCTTGAAGGTCTTCTGATAGCCATAACCAAACTTCTCTAGCTTATTAATGACATCCTTATAGACTTGATTCTGCTTCCTAGTTCTTGTCTCTTTCTTCTGAATTTTGACCTTTAGTTTATTTATCAGAGCATTTTGTGCATGGATCTTCTGGTTTTCATCATTTTGTCTCTTCGTACGATCAACAGCAACATTAAATTGATCATTCAAACCTTGTAGGTCCATCTTAAGTTGTCTGATCTTGTCCTTCATAAAAGAGACACCGTCCTCGCCTTTGAGTTTTTCATCTGGGAGGAATTTTTGATTGAATACTAAAAATTAAATTTGAATTCTTACGATCAAGTTCTTCTTCTCTTCTAGCAATCTCTTTCTTTTCTTCTTCAATCATACGGTCATGGTCGAGTCTCATGTTTGCAATACGTTTTTCGTACCCATCACGAGTGCTGTCCATATTTCTATGGTGATCAGCCTCTCTTGTTTTAAGCTCAAGAGCCATTTTCTCTTGTCAGTCTTTAGTCAAGGCTACATTTTGATCGAAGTTTTTCATAAGAGTGGCTACTTCATTATCAAAGCATTTCCTTCGAACTACCATTCTTTCCTCATCTCCACATCTCATACGGGCTTTGGCTTCCTTCTGTTCTTCAAGTCCTCTGATTTCATAAGTGAAATGGTATTTTTCAGCATTCGCAGTGTGAACTGCTTTCTGAGTCTCCTTCTCAAGTTGATATCGAAGACTTGAGATATAATGCTGCTGCTCACATTGCTGTTTAGACAGCTCATGTCTAGTCTGCACTACTTCTTGCAGCAACTCATGGTTTCTAATCGGGCTGTGTGAGATAGATCTCACTACTGGAGCATTCACAGTTGTCACTATCTATATAAAAGTTTAGGAATAATTATTCCTCTAAGTTGTATTACTAAAGTGCATAGCCCATGGGCTATGACGACTCTCGTAGCTGCCTTACCACTTCGGTCGGATTCATATTCGTTACTTAAGAATTTTTAATTTAAATCTTCAACTCTTTTATATAACTCTGGGGTTTTGGGGTTTTGGGGTTTTGGGGG